CTGAATCTCCTTGAGCATTTCACCAAGCCCAATATTTTCATGCTTGGGTATCATGTTTGGGCACCTAAATAAAAACAGCCTGTTCTTCACAGGTGTTGAGCAGGATCTCAAGTATTGAGTGGATCTAATTTACCTCTATTTCAGTAAGGCATTTGATACGGTTCCACATGGGGAATTATTAGTTACATTGGAAAAGATGGGGATCAATGTGAAAATTGAAAGGTGGATAAGGAACTAGCTAAAGGGGAGACTACAACGGGTCATACTGAAAGGTGAACTGTCAGGCTGGAGGGAGGTTACTAGTGGAGTTCCTCAGGGATCAGTTTTGGGACCAAACTTATTTAATCTTTTTATTACTGACCTTGGCACAAAAAGTGGGAGTGTGCTAATAAAAGTTTGTGGAAGACACAAAGCTGGGAGGTATTGCCAATACAGAGAAGGACTGGGATATCATATAGGAAGATCTGGATGACCTTGTAAACTGGAGTAATAGTAATAGGTTGAAATTTAATAGTGAAAAGTGCAAGGTCATGCATTTAGGGATTAATAACAAGAATTTTTGTTATAAGCTGGGGACTCATCAGTTGAAAGTAACAGAGGAGGAGAAGGACCTTGGAGTATTGGTTGATCACAGGATGACTATGAGCCACCAGTGTGATATGGCCGTGAAAAAAAGCTAATGCGGTCTTGGGATGCATCAAGCAAGGTATTTCCAGTAGAGATAAGGAGGTGTTAGTAGCGTTATACAAGGCACTGGTGAGCTCTCATCCGGAATACTGTGTGCAGTTCTGGTCTCCCATGTTTAAGAAGGATGAATTCAAACTGGAACAGGTACAGAGAAGGGCTACTAGGATGATCCGAGGAATGGAAAACTTGTCTTATGAAAGGAGATTCAAAGAGCTCGGCTTGTTTAGCCTAACCAAAAGAAGGCTGAGGGGAGATATGATTACTCTCTATAAATATATCAGAGGGATAAATACCAGAGAGGGAGAGGAATTATTTAAGCTCAGTACCAATGTGGACACAAGAACAAATGGATATAAACTGGTCATCAGGAAGTTTAGACTTGAAATTAGATGAAGGTTTCTAACCATCAGAGGAGTGAAGCTCTGGAACAGCCTTCCAAGGGGAGTAGTGGGGGCAAAAGACAAATCTGGCTTCAAGACTGTATATGCTTGAAGGGCCTGTACAACTTTACTCCTGCCTGCATCTCAGGTCTTGCCTCCTTTGCTCTGCCAGTGATGCTGTCTATCCTTAATGCCCCTTTATTTCCTTCACCTACTCCTGGCTTCATTCCTTCTTCCATGCTGCCAGGTCACAGGGCATCAGACCCCCCACCGTCTTCTCCTTCTTCATCTCTCTCCTAAAACCCCATATCTTCAGCAAGGATCAGAGACACTAGCTAACTAACAGATGCCCTAACATTTTGGAACAGAGGTTGTATAGGAAATATACAAACTGAGGTTTTCAAAGGGGCCTAAGGGAGTAATGTGCCCAAATCCCACTGAAATTCAATGGGAATTGGAGCCCAGCTCCTCAAAGATATTTAGGAACTAACTCCCATTGAAATCAGTGAAAGTTAGTTGTCTAAATACCTTTAGGGATCTGGGCCTGGGTGCTTAACTCCATTAAATAAACACCTTCTATCAAGTCACCCAGTGCATTTTGCCTTATCTGTGCCTATTGCAAGCTCTTCTGGGCACGGTCTGTGTGACATTTCCCCGGGTACCCAGGGCTGTGAGGCACCTGCTTCCGCCTGCTCTTAGTGTGAGGAAGTCTTGTCTGTGCCTGCTGGGAGGTCAGCTCCCCAGCCCCACCAGCCACGGGCAACACAAGTGCTCCCTTCTAGGCCTACACAGACCCTACTGTCACTCTGCAGACTAGCGAAAGGTACACTCAGGTCCTGGAGCCCTCAGAGCATCCCCCTGTTCTACTGGACGCTCGCAGGGTTCACAGATCCACTGCATCCAAAGGAACAATTCGCCTCAGTTTACCAGTTCCACCTCAGATTACTGCACCACTTAACACACAGCACTTAGGTATGTTTGCAGTGAAATTAAGTGTAAGTTTATGTAACAAAGCAGAGAGAGTCAAGTAACAGCAGTATTGGAAACAAAGTAAAGTAAAATCGTAGCACACATTCTAGAACATAGACTTCGTTAACTAGATACGCGCCTGCCTTGTAGAGCAATGCTCACCCCAAGTCCTTTCAGTGTTTGCCAGCCAGACTGATGGTAACCCCACTTTCCTACAACAAACATGGTGTCAGCTTGCCTCCGTGAACAATCCTGTGTGCTTCCTTGTATCCCTAGCAGCGCTTTGTCTTTAGTCAGAATCAGGACATACCCTGCTGTTGTTTTTTCCCCTGTACATTTTCTTTCTTGTAGATTTCACAATCTTTCCACTGTGATCTGGGTTGTGTGCAAATAGGCATCCATTGTAAGACATACAATATACATATGGCCAGACACAGAGATGAGCGTCTGTTTCTGCCTGCCTGAAAGGAACATGTCCAAGGTTTATCATCTCCTGGTGACCTACCTTATAATATATGGAGATGTACCTATCTCATAGAACTGGAAGGGACTTTAAAAGGTTATTGAGCCCAGGACCCTGCCTTCACTAGCGGGACCAAGTACTGATTTTGCCCCAGATCCCTAAGTGCCCCCTCAAGGGTTGAACTCACAAGCCTGGGTTTAGGAGGTCAATGCTCAAACCACTGAGCTCTCCCTCCCTGTCCCCAATACCTTAACTCCCAGATCTTCAGAACATAATTTTCAGTACGGATATATGCCTTCGTCAATATTGTCCGTGTATACATTTTGCAATGATTATGCCGACCAGTGGGCTACTGCCTTTTAGTTGAGACTTCACATGCCACTCTTTGGTGAACAATAATGCACATATTTGACCCAGGGAATCCCTGGAAAGCCCTGGGTACCCCTCTGCCAGCTGGCACCAAGTGATCCCTCAATCACAGTCTGTCACTGTTTGTGTCCGGCACAGAGCTGAGAACATTGTCGGGACTTAATGAACAATAATCTGTTAAGCGAGGGACATAACTTCAGAGTCTTTTCTCATGGAATAAACCAAGATTCCCCAAATTTATTTTATTCCCTTCTCAACTGACAGAGGCTTCAGTCTGAGTTGTGGCTCCTTTAAAGGATTCACTGAAGAAGACACCCCGCTACAAATAAAGCATAATGAGAAAGTATTGCTTTCAATCAAAGCTGTGAGTTTTAAGATCCTAAGGATCTGGTGTCATCCATTGTTTTCCACCTACATGGATTGATATCCCTACATTTTCCAAAATCGTTTAAAATATATTATGAAAGGGTCAATTTTAATACTGTCTAAACAAACATAGTCCACATTTTCTTAAAAAAAACCCAACCCACAGTCAACTGTTGAATTAATTGTTTTAAAAGTATAAAAATCTTCTTTTACTAACTGCTGTAACACCCTGCAGGGCTTGTGATATAAAGAGACTCCTCAGGCAGGTTGATTTCTAAGACAGTCACCTGAATTATTATTATTTATTATTGTAGCATCTCAGAGCCCGTGTCGTGGACCAGGATCCCATTGTGCTAGGTGCTGTACAAACAGAACTCAAAAAGATGGTTCCTACCCTCAAAAGCTTGCAATCTAAGTATAAGGCAAGAGACCACAGATGGATACAGGCAGATGGGGGAATGCAAGGAAATAATGAGACAATGGTCAGCATGGTAGGCAGTGGCCAGCAATTAGTCTAATGATTAAAATAAATAATGGTCAAATGCAACAGTAAATACAAGAAATTCTTGAACAATAATTATGACCTGATTTTGCAAATACTTATGGATGCGAATAACTTTACACTTGTGAGTAATCTCATTAGAATGGTTCTCATGCTTAAATACGTGTGAAAATGGTTTCAGCAATATGGCCCATATAAGTCATAGAATCATAGAATATTAGGGTTGGAAGAGACCTCAGGAGGTCATCTAGTCCAATCTCCTGCTCAAAGCAGGACCAACCCCAACTAAATCATCCCAGCCAGGGCTTTGTCAAGCCGGGCCTTAAAAACCTCTAAGAATGGAGATTCCACCACATCCCCAGGTAACCCAGTCCAGTGCTTCATCACCCTCCTAGTGAAATAGTTTTTCCTAATGTCCAACCTAGACCTCCCCCACTGCAACTTGAGACCATTGCTTCTTGTTCTGTCATCTGCCACCACTGAGAACAGCTGAGCTCCATCCTCCATTCCCCACCCCACTCTTCTCTTCTGCAGACTAAATAACCCCAGTTCCCTCAGCCTCTCCTCATAAGTCATGTGCCCCAGCCCCCTGATCATTTTCGTTGCCCTCCACTGGACTCTCTCCAATTAGTCATTCCACTATCAAAACTGTAACAATGCATGCATTTTGAGCTGGAAAACCGGCTAATCTAGTGTTTTCTCTTCATACCTAAGTGTAAAATCCCCTCAAAAATATATCTTATACAGGGCAGTGATTATGCTAAACAGTTCATTCAGTTTTGAACGATTCTGCCTGTTTGAGAGAGATTTCCCAGGCTTCTTCAAACAGCGAAATGGTTGCACCTGGCTGTAGCTCTAAAAATGGAATGAACGTTTTAAGTTATACCGCTGTATCTCAGAGACACCCAGGCAATTTGCACCTAATTTGAATAAAAATGAAATGTGACTTGGCTCAGCTAATTCTGGAGCAATGCATGCTGGGATCTATAGCCTCAGCACCCATGAGCCCACAGTAAAGATGAGGACTTTTCTAGGCTACATTTTTAAAACATCATGGTCTTGAAGGCCTCATTGAGCCCAGCCAAGCCGTGCATGATGGAGGAATTATTCTACGGAATACTATAGTTTTTAAAATTCGTTATTAAAAGATGCTAGGAATGCTCATAAGGATCTCAGCACATGTTTTACGCACAAGTAGCAATGCAGAGAGGCACACATCTATAACAGCCACATAACATGTATATCTTAGCATGTATATGCTTACCTGATTCTTCTGCTTCTTTGACCATCACCGCACAATAAGGGTTAATCACCTCCCCTTGTGATGGCAGATAGGGGCCGCTGTCATAGTTTGATAAGCCAATCCGAAGAAAGGGTGACATGACAGATCCTGTGTCGAGGAAAAGAGAAATGATATTTGGGGGAGTCTAAAAATTCCCTTTGTTTTAACTACCATCACTGGTAGTCGGGGGGCAAACTAGCAGCTACTTATCCATCTGAAAAGGGGCTCTATGATTTCCTCTTCTGCCTAGCGAGTTGCTTGACTAGCACAAAACAGTCATGAGACTACGCATGAGTGAGGTAACGTAACCAGATGTGTTGGTTTCAAGGTGTGACTTAACCAGTCACAAGGCATTTGCTGGAAATGCACTCAGCTGGCTTCAGAGTACCACTGATTCAACACCAGCTCACATATAACCACACATTGGAACTACAGCAATAGTGAAACCAAGTCATATTCATGGGATAACCTCTCCTGTAGTTCATGCGCAGTCACATGCTCACAAAACAGAACATTGTGGGGAAACACTGAGTTTTGGGAACACCAGTCTATTGGAAACCTGAAAGTGAAACATGACGCTGTGAAAAATTGAAGCACTGTTTATATGCAACGTGGAAATGATGCCAGGCATCATTGGGTAGCTGACACTTATTTATTGGCAATTTATTAACCTTTGAAGTGAAAATTCTGCTCATTGGAGCCAGATCTTTTTGGAGGGCCAGGGAGGAGAACACTAATGGAATCATAGATTCACAGGGTACGTCTACACTTACCTCCGGGTCCGGCGGCAGGCAATCGATGTTCTGGGATCGATTTATCGCGTCTGGTCTAGACGCGATAAATCGATCCCGGATCGATCCCGGAAGTGCTCGCCGTCGACACCGGTACTCCAGCTCGGCAAGAGGAGTACGCGGCATTGACGGGGGAGCCTGCCTGCTGCGTCTGGACCCGCGTAAGTTCGGACTAAGGTACTTCGAATTCAGCTACATTATTAACGTAGCTGAATTTGCGTACCTTAGTTCGAAGTCGGGGGTTAGTGTGGACCAGGCCACAGAAATGTAGGGCTGGAAGGAACCTCTAATCCACCCCCTGCACTGAGGCAGGGCCAAGCAAACCTAGACCTGACATATGTTTGTCTAATTTGCTCTTAAAAATCCTCCAGTGACGGGGATTTCACAAGCTCCCTTGGAACCCTATTCCAATGCTTAATTATCCGTACAGTTAGAAAGATTTTCCCAATATCTAACCTAAATCTCCTTTGCTGCACATCAAGTCATTACTTCTTTTCCTACTTTCAGTGAACCTGGAGAACAATTGATCACTGTCCCCTTTATAACAGACCCTAACATATTCAAAGACTGGTATCAAGCCCCCCTCTTGGACTTCTTTTTTCAAGATTAAACATGCCCAGTTTTTTTAACTTTTCCTTATAGGTCAGGTTTTCTAAATCACTTATCATCGTTGTTGCTCTCCTCTGGATTCTCTTCAATTTGTCCACATCTTTCATAACATGTGGTGCCCAGAATTGGACACAATACTACAGCTGAGGCCTCACCAGTGCCAAGCAGGGCAGGACAATTACCTCCTATGTCTTACATATAACACTCCTGTTAATACATCTGAGAATGATATTAGCCTTTTTTGGAACTGCATCATACTGTTGACTCATATTGAATTTGTGATCCACTATAACCCCCCAGATCCTTTTCAGCAGTACTAACCAGTTATTCCCCATTTTGTGGCTGTGCATTTGATTTTGCTCCCTAAATGTAGTACTTTGCACTTGTCTTTACTGAATTGAGTTTTGTTGATTTCAGAACAATTCTCCAATGTGTCAAGGTCCTTTTGAATTTCAATCCTATCCTTCAAAGTGCTAGCAATCCATCCCAGCTGGGTGCCATCTACACATTTTAGAAGCACACTCTCCACTCAGTTATCCAGAGTAATTAATGAAGGCATCAAATATTACCAGATCCAGGACAGACCCCTGCAGATCCCCACTAGTTATGACCTCTCAGTTTGACAGCAAGCCGTGGAGAACTATTCTTTGAATATGGTTTTCGGGAACAAGCTGCAGCCTTCTATACCGATATTCCAGTCATGAGATTTATCCCACCAATTGATGCCAATGAAATCAGAATTTAGCTGACGTACAATATTTCCAGTTCTTCCTGTTTATTCCCCATGCGCCTTCCATTTGTGTATCTAAAGCCTGGTCTACACTACAGAGTTAGGTTGATGCAAGGCAGCTTACGCCAACCTAACTACATTTAAATTTCACCTCCACTGATGTAACCGCCCTGCTATGCCGACGTAATACTCCACCTCCAAAGGCGGCGTAGAGACAAAGCCAATGTAGGTAGGTCGACGCAGTGTCAGTATAGACACTGTGTTGCTTATGTCCACTGTTACTGGCTTTCAGGAGCCGTCCCACCATGCCCAGTACAATCAATACAAGTGCTCCTGGTGAGGATGTACACTGACACAAGGAGCCAAGTGTAGACACGCACAAGCGATGCAGTTACTGAGGCAGCTGCACGCTGATGTAAGTTAGGTTGTGTAGATGTGGCCTAAGAGACGTTAAGCCACTAAGAAATACTATACAGCCGAAGAACAACTTATCTGTTCTCCTCTTGTAGCGCTTTTACAGCTTGCAGTGAAAAGATATCGCAAAGTGATCATCGTGTCAACAGAATAACAGATTATTGGGTGCCCACCATAGTCATATCTAGGTCCCATCCAAAGTATAAAAGCTCAAGACTCTGGTCTGGCCCCTCCAATGTCTCCCAGTCCACTACAGCTGCCAGTTTAAGTCCTTGCATCTAGTTGTCAGAGCCATTAATGCATAAGCGCTGACTCCATGGGTGCTCTGCGGCTAGAGCACCCACAGGGAAAAAATGGTGGGTGCTGAGCACCCACCAGCAGCCCCCCTATCAGCATCTCCCCCAGTGCCTCCACCCCGTTGGTGGGCCCCACAGATCAGCACCTCCCCCTCCCTCCCCGCACCTCCCGCCCACAGCAATCAGCTGTTTTGTGGCATGCAGGGAGGCTGGGAGGGAGCGGGAAGAAGCGAGGATGTGGCACACTCAGGGGAGGGGGTAGAACCGACTGGGAAGAGGCGGGGCAGGGGTGGGGGCTTGGGGGAAGGGATGGAGTGGAGGAGGGGCCTGGGGCACCCCCCCCCCGGCAGTTTGAAAAGTCGGCACCTGTGCATTTATGGCTCAGGTCCTACCAACATATGAGAGTGAATTTCCATCTAAGAACCACCTAAAACAGTGTGATTCTCTGGGGGACAATGAAGATCACAGAGCCCAGAAATAAGTGTGAGAGAGCTGGAGGCAAAGCATTCCCAGTTAAGGGGGTTTGAACTTCCAGAAGAGTTTAGCTGAATCCAGAATCTGACCAATGTTAGAAAACACTGAAAAACTTTCTCACGTTAGAAAGGTTTTCCCACCCTAACCAGAACAACATTCACAAGAACAACCACCACATCTCACTTATACACACAAACACCCTCTCCCGAGCAGAGCATTTTATACGCTGAAAAGTAAGACGTGCCAGAGACTGTAAGAAAGTCACTGGGAGGGATTTTGGTATTGCTAATCTATTTTTGCACAGAAAGTGCCCAGATATGGTCATGGGCAGCGGTACAAAAGCCTAAAATAAACAGAATTGACACATGCGCACGGACCACAAATGGCAAACCCTGTGTCTGTAACCTCCTGCTGCCTTTTGAACTGCTTAGTTCCAGCATCAGTCAACGTTGATTAAAAGGATACACCTTGCACTGCGCTCTGAAAGCCAAACCTGCCCTTTCAGGGACTATGCGTGGAAATAAATCTCATAGTCCAGAACAGACACCTGAGACCACCCAGCCACCAGTGCGCCTAAGGACTGACAGCAGAAACAACCCAGCTGACCTCAAAGGTCACGCAAAGGAGGATAGGGTAAATAAAGCCATTTTTCTTACCTGTAAATGGAATTTTACTGCTAGACAAGGTCAGTCTCTAACTAGATGGGTTTTCCTTTTCATCACATCTGTAGAAAACATGGAGCAATGTCACGGCTGTCTCTCATTGTCACTGTTCCTAGGGCTGGGCTGCCTTTAAAATTCTGGACTCTCTGTTTAAGGAGGTGGGAGAAAGGAGAATGAATGGGTGGAGTCGGAGCAAAACCGTGCCGCAGCCAATTGCCATAATGGCGACCGTCTTACCAGGCAACTTGGAGAGACGCGAGTCCATCCCCCCGCGCTGTACAGACGTAGTGGGTGACTGCAACAGTCAGAAGGAGTCTCTGTAAATGCATGACTGTCCCCCACAACCCTAGCCTCTGGCAGATCCGCTTGTCATCTAAATATGGTAAAACCCTCTTCTTCCTGGTTTGGAAAATAAAGACAAACATCTACAATTAGGATTGGGATTGAAACAAGATTTGGGGGCAAACACTCATGGCTCAGCACCTTCGAAGGCTGGGACACCTGCTCTTTTCTTGCACAGGCAATAGGGTGCGTTTATTCGCTGCTAGATCTTTTAAGGGGTTCGTCAAGGGATTTCTCAGATAAATTGCACCAGTATAGGGACGATCCACAAGCTTGGCATTATTGTGAAGGTTCTCCTCCCAATTTTAGCTGAAGTACCCTGTGATCGGCAGCTTGTGTAGCTGCTAATCTGGCTAAGACACAGATTGAACTCTATGAGGAATCACACAGGCACTTAAATACTATGTCTAAGAAAGTGGAAAGCCTTTGGATACCTTGAGAGGGGCCTTATGCCTAGGAGAAAGAAAACCCCATGAGTTCTTCATAAGACCCCAGGCAGTGCACCGATGATGGTCAGACTGTGCCAGGTGAAAATCTGAAAGCTCCTAGGGTCACTTCAAAAGACTATCCACATGCTTCTCTATAAGATCTCAGTATGTGATGTTGCCCGCAAGTAGGAGAAAATATTTTCGGAAGCATCTGTGATTTGTAGCTTTCCCAGGAATTGCTGGGGAGGGTAAATCACAGGTGGGAGTATCTGAAATTAGTTTCTGTACTGCAGGATAATGCAGGGAATTAGCACCATCCATCTCTCCTCAGGTCTTGGGCGATATATCTCTGGAGTTAGCTTCAGCAGCTTGGAGATACATCAGTATTAGAAAGATAGGTCCTTGAGGGAAGCTGGTGAGGCCATCCTCATTATCGACCCAGGTTTGGATAGGTTTGCATGGCACCAAACAAGATGGGAACAGATATGGAGTATCACCATGAGCCCAGTGAGTAGAACCCCCCTCCAAAGTTACTTATTAGGGGAGGGGTCCATGATATTAAAGCAGGTGGGGCATCAGGAAGAGGACTTAGCCTGGATTGATGGCAAAACCCAATCCAAATAGATAGTCGTCTCCCCACAAGAAACAAATGCATTGTTCTTCTTTCTTTGTCTTCAACTATTCGAACATTTCCTACCCCCCCTGAAATAAGAGGCCTAGCTAACCTGGGAGGGGAAAAAAATAACCTGAGGAATTCTGGCAGCAAGATGTAAATATAAATGCCTGTGCCAAGTAATGGGCATCAGGGCAAGCTAACAGGACCCTGAAGACAGCCTGCGGCCGACACTCAAAACGGCTGCAATCTTCCACTCATGCCTGTTCAAATATGAAGTAAGTAGAAACCAGTCTCCTTAGAGGCTGACCCTGCCCACTTGGAGTGAGGAGATGAGTCTGTTGTATAAATAGCACAGCAGGAGTTTGGTTCCACTTTGCATTTGTTTATACCTCTCAGAGTTGGTAAGACAACTCCCACCTGTTCATGCTCTCTGTATGTGTGTATATATATCTCCTCAATATATGTTTCACTCTATATGCATCCGAAGAAGTGGGCTGTAGTCCATGAAAGCTTATGCTCTAATAAATTTGTTAGTCTCTAAGGTGCCACAAGGACTCCTGTTCTTTTTGCGGATACAGACTAACACGGCTGCTACTCTGAAACCTGTCTTTATACCATCAGTTCTCCATGTTTTTCATTCTGCTAATGACCTGGCAAGAGAAAGATCCCTTAATGGATACATGTCCCAACACCCTAATTTCCAACTGTTTGGCTCTCAAAACAATCCACTCTGTGGACCCTCAGGAAGGGCTTTGATCACCATTAAGTGGTCCACTGACCCCATGCTGAGCAGCTCTGGCTTACTGTCACTGCATGATGGCAGGGGATGGATCACTTGATGATTACTTGTTCTGTTCATTCCCTCTGAAGCACCTGGCATTGGCCACTGTCAGAAGACCGGACACTGGGCTAGATGGACCTTTGGTCCGACCCAGTATGGCCGTTCTTATGATTAAAAAGTGTAATACAGCACTTCGGGAATCTTTGAGCATGAAAATCAACAAAGCAATCTAAATATTGTTCTATATCTTCTTGGCACAGAAATACCCCAAATGCAACTGAATCATTTTCTCAAATATTTAGAAAAACTTCACTTAGGTGAAAAGTATTGGGCTAAATTCATCACTAGTGTAATCCCCTGAAGTGATGCAATTACTTTAGCAATGAACATGGTCCAACATGTTGACAGCAAAGGTCAAAGTTTAAAGAAAAAACCAGTTTTGAAGAGTTATCAGATCTCAAATCAGTACCAGACTTAGGGCCCACCCCCCATACGCCATCAGCGTTAGGAGCACGGTCTGTATTCCACTAGAGAGTTGAAAACCCTCCGTTCCAATGGAAATAGCATTTATTGTAGCCCTGGTTGGCTGCGCAGTAACTGACCTCAACAGCATGTGACTATATTCTATTGATGATCAATTTTAGCGACTCTTACCCCATATTAGTTATAAAGAACTGGAGCCCTGTATTGGGATATTCAGGGAACTTCCCATAAGCTGATCTATCACTCAGAGGTTCTAGAAATTGAAATGTCATGGCAATCAAGCAGTCATCAGCAAAGGAGAGAGGATATTTGACATGGTTGTGTGGGCCCTTTGCAGCTGAAGGAAACAGATCGTATCTGCGGGAGGATTCATCAGGGATCTGCGTGAGTCTTTTGTGTTGTGTGCACTAGCTTTCTATTACATTTCTTTATAAAGAACAATAACTGCAGGCTTACTTTTCCTCCCCAGTAAGACTTATAGAAATGTGTGAAGTCCCCACAGAAGCGTCTGGGGGGAGACAGAGAGTGGGCACCTGATTACTTGATGAAAGCAGAGGGCATATAGTACATACCCAGTCCTGGCATAGGGGAGGGCTGGATGATCTAATCCTTTGCTTCATCTCCAACTTCTAACATCCTCCTATTTTCTGTAGCTAAATGCCTATATAAAAATACTTCTTTATTAACTACTCGGAAAGCTTGAAGCTGGACGGGACTGGACCTCTGGCAGATATCATGGCGTGGTGCAGGAGAGAGTAGCTATGGCAGATGACAGGTGCACCTAATGGCCCCCGTTGCGATATTAAGATGCAGCTCCTGCCCCTGAAGAGCTTACCCTCTAAGCTAACAAGGAAGACAGAGGGAAGGAAGCACCGTAGTCTCCATTTCACCGATGGGGAACTAAGCACAAAGGGATTCAGTGACTCACCCAACATTACACAGGAAGTCTGTGGCGGAGTTGGGATTTAAACCCAGGTCTCACAGTAAGGCGACGTGTCTAAGACACTTATATGGAGCCTATCAACATGCTATCTGAGCACCTCACAACCTTTAACAAATTTATCTTCCCAGCCCCCTGGTGAACTAGGGCCCTGCTAATACCCCCATTTTAAAGAAGGGGATTGAGGCACAGAGAGACTAAGGGCCAGATCTACAAAGGAATTTTGGCATCTAAGTCCCAGTTTTAGGGACCGCTGCAATCCACAAACCCCCGTCAACTGCTGCCTAACCCGATGGGTGCCAAAACTCACTGGGCACCTAAAGTTTTGCTGTAAAAGTTGCGTTGGTGCCTAAGTTTCTGCTCCTGGGCATATGCAGTGCTGCTTGAGGCAAGCGCCTTGGCCCCTGTCTCCTACCGCAGCCCCTCACACCTGGGAAAATAGGAAGGGCAACTCTTTCTTGACTATATTAGGAAGCAATACACTTCATGGTCTTAAGCAAATGAACTTGAACAGCGTGGAATGTACAGACTAAGGCCCTTATTCAGCAAAGCACATAATCACACACTTAGGGTAGGTCTACACTTACCTCCGGGTTCAGCGGTAAGCAATCCATCTTTTGGGATTGATTCAGCGTGTCTTGTCTAGACGCGATAAATCGATCCCGGAAGTGCTCACCGTCGACGCCAGTACTCCAGCTCGGCGAGAGGAGTACGCGGCATCGACGGGGGAGCCTGCCTGCCACGTCTGGACCCGCGGTAAGTTCGAACTAAGGTACTTCGAATTCAGCTACGTACCTTAGTTCGAAATGGGGGGTTAATGTGGACCAGGCCTTAGCATGGTTGACTTCTGAGGGGTTTAAGCATGTGCTGAAGTGTTTTGCTGAATCAAGGTCTACCCGAGGGGAGATTTTAAACAGTTCAGCTCTTTTTTCAGTAACTAAACTCACAGTTTGTGGAGAGGATGGGATCTATTTCCAGCCATATTGATATGGCATAAATTAGCTCCCTTTTACTGGCAAAATGACAGCTGCAAAAAACTAAGTATTTGTGCCTTTAGCTTTCTCATCTGTGACCACAAACAGATAGAGGAGCCGGTATTGTAGGTGAAAAATGTAACTCTCAAAGGGATGCTTCCCAGCTGAAAGACATTGGACACATGCATAACTTTACACACCAGGAGTAGTCCCGTGACTTCTGGGCTCCCAAACTGAGTTCAACGGGATTACTTCCAGTGAATAAAGATGAGCACATGAGCATAGACGCGGACTCCATGGGTGCTCTGGGACTGGAGCACCCATGCGGAAAAAATAGTGGGTGCTGAGCACCCACTGGCAGCCCCCCCTATCAGCTCCCCCCTACCCCCAGCACCCCACCCACTGGCAGGTCCTGCCGATCAGCATCTCCCCTTCCCTTCCCACGCCTCCCGCCCATCGCAATCAGCTATTTTGCAGTGTGCAAGGAGGCTGGGAGGGAGTGGGGAGGAGCAAGGGGCAGGGGTGGGGCCTTGGGGAAAGGGGTGGAGTGGGAGCCTTTGAAAAGTCGGAGCCTATGAGCACATGCATAAATCCTTGCAGAATCAGGGCCAAATTTTCTCTCTCTCTGTCCTGAAATTCAGGAGAGAACATCTGTAAATAATTCCCTTCTGTCATTTTCATTGTAGGGGTATACATCGACCGGTAGTGCAAAAGAGCTAAAAACAATATTTTTATAAAGAGAACATCTGAAAGCATTTTGTGTGGGACAGTCCCTTTTTCAGACTGCCTTGGGCAGTGGGAGGAGGGCCGAAAGGGAATTGGAATAGCTATCTAA